AGTTTCTTATCATGAATATTATATTATATTTCTATATATAGAAGTTTATAAAATCAGAATAAAATTGAATATCATTAATTATTATCTTATTTTTGAGAGATAATAACAGTTACTATTACTGTAGAGATATCAGATTCAATCTAAATTTCTCAGCTTGAGTCAAAATAAATGAGTAAAGAAGTTTGTATAAAGTGTTCTTTTAGATTATCAAAGATGTATTATGCATTTTTTATTTATATAAACTGTGACTTTTACTTTTCTTTCTTTAAAATCATTATGATATCAAAGAGAAATCTTATAATTTTAAAGTAGTTTTTAATGAAGTGATAATAGAAGTTTGTAAATATTAATAAAGTCTAAACTTTTTTAACATTAGTTGAGACTGATCATTCTGTAATGACTATCACTTGATGTGATTTTATTTCAATACTCTAAGATTCAACATTGAATTTTAGAAAGAAGGTTTTATTTTTAATAAACTTATATTTAATATGCTTTGCAAATAGATTCTTATAATCTAGTTACTCAAATATCTTTTGTATATATATTTTATACTTATTTATTAAATTTAAATAGATAAGAATGTTATCTAGATAAATTACACATTATATGTCAAGAAGATCTGCTAAAGTGTAGTTTATATATACTTAAAAAATGACAGAGGTATTTGTGAGCTCAAAAAATATAACATTGTACTCAAAATAATTATGTTATATATAGAATACTATTTTTCATTTATCACTATGCTGAATATATATTCTATGATAAGCATCTTTAAAATTAATCTTAGAGAAGATTTGTACTTTAGAAAATCTATTTAATATCTCACTCACAAGAGATAATAAATATTTATTTTTGATTATGAGATGATTCAGATCTATATAGTTTATACAGAGTTATAGATCTTTATTTTTCTTTAAAATAAAAAGAATAAAAGTATTTACAAAGCTCTGAAAAGAAGATATTCAGTCTTATTTCAATATACTATTCAAGTAGTTTTGAAGAATTTTTAGCTCTGTTTCAGAGAAATTATAAATAAATATAAATAAGAATCTGACTTCTTTTTTAAAATTAATTGAGTACTATGCATCAGATACAGATGCATTAGACACAATCTCTTCAAAGAAAAAATATTTATATAATCAGACATAGCCAGACAGATTATTGATAAAAGCTATATTTGCAAATAAGTTATTTTTAAAATGTTAAAATTTTAGAAAAAGACTTAGAAGCCTGTGAAATTGAGACAGATACTATTGTAAGTACATAGTCAGAAGCATCAGTAAGTAATTTATTAGCAGTATCTATTATACTCAGAGCTATCTTTTGATTATTTTATTTTTAATAGAAATAGAATTCTTTATCTTTTTAATCAAGAAGAGAATTAAGTTGTTTGAATTATAAAAATTCTAGTATTATATTATAGTCTGAAAGTTTAATAATATAAAAGAAGTAGAGTTCTCTGATTATAGATTATTTACTATTTAAAACTTCTATCTTTATATTAATAATTTTGAATAAGTATGATTGATAATCATCAAATTTTTTTATTCTATATGATATATACTTTGTTAATTATAATTTATATAATTTGACTCAGAATTTACTGATAAAACTTATTTGAACTTCAGAATCAATAAAAGTAAGAATTGATATATCTTCTGTGAGTATTTAAATTTGAATAAAAAGAAGAAAGAATAGACTTAGTGATAATTAACTTTTGAATATATTAAAAGTTGTCATTACATTATGAATAATACTTTTTATTTATTTTTTACCTTTTTAAAATTTGATTTGAAAGAGAGTTTTGATGAAAACTTTGAAGTTAAGAATTTGTCTTCAGAGAGCTTGTTCTTCTGAGTCTTGTAGTCTATATTGAAATATGTAAAGCTTCAGTGAACATCACATCAGATGACTGAGTACTTCTTGCATTTTCAGCTTTTCTTCTTGAGTGCTATTGATGTATCATCATGTGAATCTTTTCTGTGAGTAGTGCTCTTTTATTATGTAGTTGCACTTACTGATATGATAGTTTTTGAAATATTACTCTTCACAATACTTAGTTTTGTGATAAAAGTATTATAGAAATAATTACATAGTTTAATAATATACCTCTCAAATTTTATTTAAAGAAAAAATAAAATTTTGTCAAATAGATAGATCTTTTACTAATAATTATTATATTTTTTAATAAGATGATTCTCAATTGACTGAAGAGTGAACACAAAGTTATGAACAGTTTAATCTTCAGATTATCTCAATGTCTGATACTTCAACTTATAGTTCTGACTTGTCTTATCTGGGTCAATGATTTTACTATAAATTTAGTTATAGAATTTATTTTAGATAATTGATATCTTCAATTTAATGTAGTATTATTATCATTTCTATTATAATTTAATATTAAAATTTATTACTGCTTCTAGAATCTTGTATTCATCATCATTTTCAAAGTAATATCTTTAATATATATAAAAGATAAGACTTGAAAAAATAAAATCATCTAGATTCTTAAAACTTTTTATCTTAAACTCATTTAAGAGTTTTTGAATTGATGTAGAATAAGACTTGAAAGAAGTGAAATTGATATTAGTAGTATGATCTAATGACTCTACTTCATGCTGCTTGCTTCAAGAAATTTGAAGTTTACACTAAATATATTAACTTATTATTGTAGTTCAAGAATCTTTTCATATATCTCTTGATGTTTTTATTCATATTGAATTATATAAATCTTTTTACCAACTGATATAAGAAGTACTTCAGTATTTCTTTCTGAAATTAGACTTAATAATTATTTATAGAAGATTTCTTTTATATTTATTTTATCATTGAATATTATATATGAGATATTGATTCATAAATTATATTTCAGACTTATTGTTATAGACTTAATAAGCAATCTCTCTTAGAGTAATTAAAAACTATAAGAATACTAAGATGAATGAACTAAATATCAAAAGAAAATATGAGAAACTCTATAACTAGAATTGTAAAAGAGTAGATATATAGACATTGTAAGTGCTATGAAAAAAAAAAAAAATAGCAATGAATAAAATGTATATATTAAATTAAATAGTAGCTAATTACTGAATCTCTTGAAGAACCTTCAAAGATTCAGAGTGTTTATATATATGAATGAGTAGTAATAGATTTTATCTATAATATTTTATAGAATAAAAAACTAGTAATGCAGTGATCTAAATTTTTATAAAGTGCTGATTCTATTTTTCAGAAAGTGCTAATGTTAAAAAATTGATTTTTAAGAAGTGCTGATCTATGTTAATCTCAAATATTAGATTTTGAAATGATACTAGTATAGAGAGTTTTAATATCATAGAGTAACTATGATTGATAAAGTCAATATTATAGATTAATCTCTATCTCTCATGATTACATATAAGAATAAGTGTCATTATTTTTTATGATATGAGCAACTATTAAAAAATTAAACAATTGATGTTAGTGAAAAGAGTTTAATTATAAACAAGCTTGATTTAATATAATTATAAATTCAATAGATCTACTTAAGACTTATATAATTCATAGAAAGAGATTATTAATTTTAAATTAATATAATAATTATATTATAATTAAATTTAAAAAATTTTATTTGAATTATAATATTATAATATTATATATATCTTCTTATTTCTCTCATATAATGCAGTTACTAAATCTAAGCAGCTTTTCATCATTGAAGAAAACATATGACAAGAAGATAAAGTAAAGTATAAAATTGAAAATTAATCATATTAAGAAGAAAAAATTTCTAAATAGCTATATAGCAGCTAGACATAAAATCATGAAGTATATTACTATAAGAAATAAATTCAAAGTTATAAATCTAGTGTCATAAAATTCAGATAAAATTTTTATTCAACTTCATATTCAATTTTATACTTCTTTCTTCTCTAAGTTAGTGTATAAATTTCTACTTCTCTGAATATTTAAAAATTCTCACAATGTGACTTAGTTGAAGCTAGAGCATAGCATGATTAAATGTTATATAAATATTTTTCCTAGTTCTATCAATGAAGCTTTTGATCAACTAGTGAAGAAATATCAGCTGATCATGTATAATGCTATTATATTAGCAAAGAAAAACACAAAGCTGAGTGCCAATGTCAGGTAGAAGTGAAAGAGAGAGAAATCGTGTTTTATATAGCTAAGAAAGAAATTCTAACAGTTCAATATGCATTAGTAGGACTGCTAGACCTTAGAAATCTGATCAATATACAGAGAAATGGGTTGAGAATTTGAACCCAGGGATTAGAAGTGAAGGCCCTCAACCTGCAGCAAGTGTAATACACCTGAACATAATATTAAACAATGTCAACAGATCTAAGTGTCTATTCTATATAATTTCTATATATAATTCCTTGTGGTTGTTGCTTAATTTGAAATTTTGTCAAATAGAATGGTGATCTGATAGGTATGATCCGGTAGATGATTGATTACGTTAGTTAATGAACTCATTTCTTTAGCCAGGCTCCTTTACACCGCTACTTGGACTGGAGTACCAGAACCGGTGTGGATGTATACACAAGGGGAAGGGACATAAATAAGATAGCGAAAATCAAGTGGAAGTGGATATCGAGTTGATATCAGCCGTATCAATAATTATAAACTACAATTCTAATTCATGCCTTGTGTTAGGCAGCGGACAACTTCCTCCTTTTTCCTCCAGACCTGGTAAAAGACTAATAAGGGGAAATGTTCCATGGAGTTCTAACATGCAAGCAAATACGCCATTTGTAAAAGCTCAACAGGGGAATAGAAGATAAGAATAAAGGGAAGGTTCTGGATACTAAAGGGATATATCCATATTGAATGTTAATAAGAGAAGCAGCTTTTGCTGAAAGCCGTTCAAATTGCCCCCTTCCGTGTGGCCTTGAAATCTCTGATATTGGCCTATTGCAGTCCAAGCGTCGCAAATATAACCCGAGTCAAGATAAATCTGATCAGGAAGGCAGATATGCCAGTTTACCTGTTGGGATTTACCTTGCCAGGCTATCAAGATACATGTTGTGATATTCCTCTCTATCAACTTCGGATACCGTCCTATCTGGAGATACCACACTGTTTGCTTTAGCCTTCTCACACCTAACATATGCATCACAGGACCGAGGGGTGGCATTGTTCACCCCATCGTGAGGTTGACCATGCCGGTAAGAATATGACAAAGGGTTGCATGAGAACCCAAATGAATCATTTTCGGCAAATGCCCCAAAATCAGGTTGTGCAACTGAACCATAGAAGTATTGGTTCGAGTACTGGCCTTCTTCGACGCTGTGCTGTCCAGGCCAGCTGCCATGTTCAACCGGGGGGTCCACCCTTCCACCCGAGTTCATTATTGGCTCAATATTCTCCTTCCCGATAAAAAATTCCGGCATGGAGGTGGATCGGTTATGAGTATAGGACTTGGAAACATGAAATTGAAAGTTGTCCGAAACGCCAGGCTTATGGAAGGCCGATTTAGGACCTGTAAAGGTACCAAGAGAGGGCTTGGCATCGTGTCCAACATTAGTCGCATTCGCTGTAGCTGTTGCTTCACGGGACATGGCCTCCCTAAAGGTGGAGTGCATCTGATCGTTATTGTCGTTGAAAATCGCAAAGCGACGACGTGACTTTTGGTCATAGTCGGTAAATGTCAACTTCAAATCCTCATCACCCGTGGCACAATGGTTACCAAAGAACTGAAGGCGGAGATTGGTAGGAGATCCTTCAAGAAGAGGTAATGTCTGTCTAGATAGCTCCTCTAAAGAATCGGTGTGGCGACGATGATCTCCCTTAACATGATTCTTCCTTTGGCCTCTTAAATTGAAAAGGTTGGTGCTCGACTGGGGAAGTGGAAGTCGTCTCGTACGTGTCACACGACGCTTAGGAATGGGGGTTTCACCCTTGAGAGGACTGTTGTCCTCTTCGACATTTCCTGATATTGGACGCTCGCGTCGTAATGTTCCTCCTGGAGAGAAAACGAGCTCTGTTGCCTCAACGTTTTCAGATGTCTTTTCCATCTCTTTCAAAGTGCTCCCGTCCTTTTTCTGGTTGCGCTTCTTCCTCATCTGCTCTGTGGCTGAGTCAAAAATATCCATACCAGGCCACAATATTCCTTTCAGTCTGGTGGCTTCTTCACTCTTGGTTGGCGATTCCTCGTCATCTTCATCAGCATATTCCAGGGAGCGGTTATCCACAAAAGGATCAGGGGTAAATGGACGACCGGGTCTGTGAAGAGATGAAATGCCAGTATTATCAACCTGGTCAGCCCGACCTCTTTTACGTTGGACGAGAGGGCTAGTCTCTTCGGATACACAGGAGTCGGATAATGGCTTCCACCCATTTACGTTATCAGTCGTAGATGGTAGCGACGATTTGAGTTGGCATGTAGGCCACAGCTGTGTACGTGGGTGAGGGGGTTTAATGGAAACTGCGTTTGTGGAAATGCCAAGCCGAGAGACTTCTTGGGAGCGGGTGTGGCTGTCTACAGTAACGTATGGAAGAGACATCCGAGGATCTAGGTAGTCGGGGAGAGGGTTGGCCGGCTGTTCAGAAGATTTGGGAGCGAAGCTATCTTCTTTAGGCTTTAAGTTTCTGCGGGATGAGGAAACATTTCCAAAAGCTGAATTAGTGTTGCCTCTTTTGGCTTCCTTGGTGAGCATACGGTCAGAGAGCAGTCCTGCAAGGTTATGCTCCCTGTACCATTGGTCGTAGGCTCCTAGCAGCTCACCAGCTTCAGGCTCCTGGTGGCTTCTCACTTGGAGCTTGAAAGAGTGGGAGAGATGCCCCTTGGAGCTGATGTGGGTCAGGAGGTGGGACACATCACTGAAATTGGGCTTCTTGGGGCATATAATGCATTTGAGAACAGTAGAAGGCATGATCGCCAGAAGATGGTTCTCGAAATGTGTGAATGAGAACACAGATAATGACAACAGGGGCAGTGAGAAAAAGGCACGCAGCAACAGAGGTGTCAGAGGCAGAACAATGGGGCAAGGAGCACAGAAGAAGCAATTGAGAGATATAGATGCACTTCAGTGATAGAAATGAACAACAGAACAGGTCTCTCTCCCTGCGGGCTGGGGGCGACGGAAGAGGGATGAAGTGAGGTTGAGGAGTTGACGAAACACACGTCAAGGTTGTGATGTTTTGACGTGAGAAAGGGCAGCAGCAACAGCAATAACAGCAACAGCCAGGAGAGGCAGGGGCTATTACAGAGCAAAACAGAAACGTATCGCATTGGCCGTACGCCTGCTATAGCAGGTAGAGTTGTGGTAATAACGTGGTACGACGAATAAGGTAGAGAAAAAGGGGTAGAGAACAGCAGAAAAGGCAGCTTCAACCAGAAGTTGGACGTAGAAAACCGAAGATATCAACTATTAGTTCATCATCAATTAGAAAAGATCAACAAGGACCATTCTCATATGGAATAGCATTTGTGGACATCTCTTTATCCCTGTACAATTAAATGCATAAAAATTAAGATTTTACAGGTTGTGTTCTCTGGTTTTTATAACCACAAAGTGAGGAGGTTCCAGGTCACTAGAAACAAAATAAGAGATCTCCTAGATACTGTTCCTCTCTCGCCTCGTATCCCGTTGTCCACCATATATTAGGCCAAGGGTTACTTGATTGTAGGAGGTAAACTTGACATGAATTGGTGTTGTAAACGAAAGTAGGGAAGGGATGGAGCGGGAATTGAAGGTCTATGGGCATTGGGAAAAGGGGCGCTCGAGAATACGTATTAAGCCCTTCATCAGCAAGATATCCTTTATTCAAGAAGCCACAACATGTTTTCCATATACCACAGCGTTATTTCCTCAGCACCTTGCTTGTGACCTCCTTGGGCATGCAACTTTGCATCCGTCAGCTGAGTTTCCAAAAATCCAAAGGAAAAAAGAAAAAGGAGGTAGTCGTTGAAAGAACCCACTAGATCGGATCGACCTCCCTGAGACCAGGATAGTTCAGTAAACTCAGACCAGCGATGCCGAAGACTGTATGGAATACATCAACCATATCGCCCGGTCGATCTGCAATCCCGCCACCATCTGTATCCTATTCCCATTCCGTCAACGAATTTCGCATCTTTCAGTCAGTATGGATGGTCTAATACCTGACACCGAAGAATGAAAGCTGCCAGTTTTTCTCCATTGATCCAATGGAGCCTTCCAATCATAGCTAGGCTGCTCGCAACCCACCAGCTGTAGCAGACATCCTCTAGCTTCTCCGGGCGCCCATTAAGCCCACCGTTGTCCAGCTGTCTCTCACTTAGCCAGCTTGCAAGTCTGTCCGTGTCAATCAAATCAAGACGATCGGCGATCGCCAAGGCCCCAACGCAAGTAAATATCTGCCCAGCATGGGACTCGGCCCCAGGGTGAACTCCAAACCCACCATCAAAATTCGCACATGACTGCACGTACGATACAGCTTTAGGAACATCAACAAGAGATAATAGGCCTAATAAAGACAAGGCGTTGAGTGCGCCATAGAGGAATCGTGTATCAGTCTCCCCCCATTCATCGCCATTAAAGGTACCCGTCGCACGGTCTTGGAGGTTCGCAATATCTATTCAAGGTCAAGTTAGGGTATAATCTACCACAACCACAGGACAGTAGGAAATTTAAGCCACAATATGCATACACGACCCCACTTTCTGCCTCCCGCCTCGGTTCTGCTTATCCAATTCGTCGACTGCATCAATTGTCACGAGGATCTGAACAGCACTGACAGTGTATAGCATGTGAGCATCATGACCCGGAGCGGCACCAAATCCGCCGTTGTCATGTTGGCAGCTTAGAATGAAAGCGATGGTCTCGTCGCGGGGTAATGCCTCGGGATGGCCAAGTAAGTGGAGAGCAGTCAGACCCCAGTAGACTCCATTCAGACGCATATGTTCTGTGAGCCAGTATTCCAACTCATCTTTCCGCTGGGGAGGCCATTGTTACTCATCAATACACCATCCATTTTAAAAGACGGAGGAAACAAAGCTAGTCAAGCCTTAAAAGCTAGGCGCGGTATGGATCTCGAGAGGTACACGCACAGTATCAAGGCGTTTGACATAGTCCACATGCTTCTGGACAAAAAGCTCCTCCCCGGTAGAGTCTGCTCCTGCTGCGCCCCCTCTACCTGGACCTGAAATTAGAGACATCAATGGAAACGATGAAAGATCAAATCTAAAGGTGATTGTCAGACGGCAGAAAAAACGATTGTGAAATTGATCCAATGAAGGGGTTTGGAAGCTTTCAAATCCAAAATCGATGGGCTACGGGAATGGGTGTGAAAATGAATTGTTTCATTTACGCCACCCCCATATTAACCGTGCCACGCGCACTCACCATTAGTGAGTGCGCCCCACTGTAATGAAAATCTTCTAGGGTCACCAATCTTCAAAAATTAATTAATGGTCAACACTATGCCTATCTATAATATAAAGATTATCCATATACTCATTAGAGCATGTAGAATCTCTGATAGATTGAGATTCAGTAATAACATCATGTCGTGGTTGGTTGGCATTAAATTTAAAGACTTTGATCTCAACTGATCATAGGGCTCTATTCCCCTCTCTTATTAATTCCTCTTCCTTATGATGCTTGATCTTGCAATTGGCATCCTTGATACTGAGGACCCTCTCTATCTGCACCTGCCTGTGACTGTTTTTGACAATTCAGTGTCTATTCACCAAATAATGAGCAGTTAACTGTTACGGCGCGGCTGCTTGTATATGGATTAAGGTTGATCCGCCCCGCGACGCTCTAAAGGTTGATCCGTTCCGACCTCAACCATATTCAGTTGTTCATGTTGATCCGCTCCGATCCCCAATCACATTCGCTCTGAAGGTTGATCCGACCCGATCCCCAACCACCTCTATATATTCGGCTGCTCGTTCATTCCACATTCTAGTATTCTCGTCGCAGCTGCCTAGTTAGATTGATGAATTGAAGCTGTTCCCTTGTTGTCATCCTGACTCTAGTTGAGCCATGACAGTGATTATTAATTTTTGAAGATTGATGATGAATATACAAGAAAGATATTTTCATTACAGTGATATTTTCTTTACAGTGGGGCGCACTCACTAATGGTGAGTGCACGCGGGCACGGTTAGAGCATAGTTACCATTCAATTGGAAGGCGCAAGTTCTTGATGCCCATTTTAAGTCGCTGCCTTAGCTATCATGACAAGGGTCTTCGCGGTAATATTCATTAAATCTGTTAGTTGGAGGAACCTTTGAATTACTTATACCTTGAAAGTTGTACCATGGGAGAAAGAAAGTCTGAGAGATACAAAAGAGCCGCTTGCCCAATTTGAGATATTCAGATTCAGTAGGAGGATAAGAGAGAGAGAGATATATTGATTATATTTTGTTTGGCATGACCGCCTGGAAGCCGCACCACCTCACGTGATGTACGCGTATATCAGTTGCTGTTGCTAACCAGTCCTCCCACCAATGGAAAACCAACTATTTTACAGGTTATAGCCTGGACAGTATATTTTTGCAATAAAAACACATTTTTATTTGAAATTTCATTGTGTCAAAGACAATTGAATGAGTTCAACTAGATTTTCTTTAAATATATTTTTTTTATATTAAAAATTAAAATATATTAAAGAAATATTATTTATTGTGAGAAAGTGATTATATTCATGAAAAAATTAAAACAAAAATATCAATTCTATAAAAAAAGACTTTTTTTGCAACAAAATCAGAAGATTTTACAGACATATTATTTGATTGCAAGAAGTAATCATGTTCTTTGAATAATCAATATTTATATTATTATAACTAAATTATCTTCTATCATATCTTTAATTTAAATACAGATGAATAGATGTTCAATTGCTAACTCAATAAGCTATCTGAGTGAATACTAAGATAAGTTCTAAAGATGAGTTTGAAGAAGACTCTGTTTATATAGTCTTTTTTTTTAGCATAGTTACTAAGTAATTATTATATTTATATATTATTTATATGCAAAGTAATATAATAGCTTCAATTTACATACAGATGAACAGATGTTTATGTAAAGAGTTAAGCTCTAAGAATTAGAAGCTAGTCCTCCTATATAACAAGGACGAATTGCTTAAGAAAGGGAAGAAAAGAATGAGATGAGAACTCAAGCTTAAGCAAGCTCACGTAGCATGATCATGTGCACATGTGTGAATGATGACTAGGCTGAGTCAGTCAGTCAGAGCAAATCTAGAGATTCAATCTCTTATAATACTTCTTTTCTCCCTCTTTGTTGCAGGTCTTTATGACTATTTAAAGCTCTCTTTACACCTAATTTTGCCTGCTGAGAGGCCTCTCAAGTGTTCAAAACCTTTACTTCTTGTAGAAGACTCACATCATTTCATGTAGACTCAGTTCAATCTACTTATTTAACAAGATATTGCTTTTTTCTCTGATAGATTTGTTTGCTCTGAATTTTCTCATTCTCAAACTCAGATCCTTCTGAAGTCTCTATAGTGAGTGACTGTCAGTCAGTTTGCCTCTGACTAGGCAGGGGATTCATCACTGCAGTATGTAGAAGCTTTACATTAAAGACATTATGAATGTCAGATGAGACATTCAGTCAGTAAGTATGAAATTCTATCTTTTCTAGCACAGTATATTGATTGTATTTCACATTCAGCTTCTTACACAGTTGATTAGTTCTCATGTTCTCTAAGCTCAATCAGATCTTATCTTCAAATTGAAAGCTTGAAGCTGAGTCTCTTCATCTATTCATGTATTTCTCTTGAGATTACTGAGCATCTGTCATTTTTACTTGAGCTCACTTCATCACTTCACAGACCTTCCTCATATAATCATCTGCAAACTCAATAGAATTATGTGATGTTTCAATGAAAGGTGCATCAGCTATATCAATGAAGAAGATGTAAA